TAATTATTTATCCAAAAGTCAGGCTATGCTAAACCACCTGAATCTTCCCCCACAGTTTATATTTTCTAATTTAATTAATATGCTATTTCATCTCCCACCTAACCCTCACCCTCACCCCAAGTTTTACAGTTGTCAGGAAGTTGGAGTAAAACTTTCAGTTTCTCATAGCAAAGTGAAGAACACTCATTTGACCTTTTCAGGCACCGGTCCAATGCTTTCCCCGCTGGGTTTATAGTCCTGCTCACCAGGGAAAATCAAACACCTGCTGGCAGATAGTTTTTACAAGCCAGTAGGGGGTTTCTGCAGAGGGTGGGGCCCTGTAGAGGAGGTTAATCACCGTTAGGTACCCTGGGGCCTGTGGAGGCTGAGAAGTTTTAACCCTCAGCTTGCCGTGCACACCAGGGCAAAACCATTAACGGTCTGGTGCAGTGATTCCAATAAAAAAAAAAAAAATCAAAGGAAAACAGACATACTGAAAGAACTGATCACAGGAGGCAGTTTTCATACAGGTTGCAAAAGACTCTGGTCTGGTTTTGTCTTTCAACAAGAAGGTAACAGGCATAGAAACTTACATGGAAGGTCTCGTGGGTTTTGGGGGACCTGAGCGGTCTAACTTTGACACATCCGATGCCAACAGACAATACACATTCCTCCATCAGTGGTAACGTCCCGGATTCCTGCACAGACTTCACTTCCACTTGAACCCGCCGGGACTGCCCCTGGATCACAGACAATTTTAAGAGTCTTAAATTCTGTTTCTTGGTTTCCAAAAAATTGGTTTAGAGAGCCCCCTACAGGCTGATGTTGAGAAAAACATTTAACTTTGGAGACACCATCTCACTGTATCTTGTAATGTTAAGTACTAAAACACAAATTAAAAAACTAACCAGAAAAAATTATTTTCCCTTTAAGCAAGATGAAAAACAGAATAAATGTACGGTTTTCATATTTTTCAATAAAAGGAAGCACTAAAAGAAAACATTCTAACAAAGGAAAGCCAAACAGCTGGCCAATGAAGAAGTTCAACTTACGATAATTAAACAAATACAAATTAAAACAAGCATGATACACCTTTATTTTCACTTCCTAAACCAGTAATAACCTTTTAAAGGGGCAATTTCCAACACTGCTCTATGTTTACGAAACAAGCAATTTCATACACGGTAGGTGGGGGTTTAAATTGGTGCGAGCTTTCTGCAGGGCAATGTGACTTAAAACAAAAGTATCCTTTGACCCAGCAATTCAGATTCTAGGGATCTGTTCCAATCATGCATATGTATAAAGAATCTTAAAGTACTGTTAAGAATAACAAAAAATTAGATAAAAATTAAACGAATATTGATAACTTCAGGCCAAGCTTTGTGGCTCATGCCTGTAATCCTAGCACTTTGGGAGGCCAGAGTGGAAGGATCTCTTCAGGCCATGAGTTCCAGACCATCCTGAGCAAGAGCGAGACCTGGTCACTACAAAAAACACAAAAATTTGACAGGCATGGTGGCACACACCTATAATCCTGTCAGGTAGATAGCTAGGGTCTCCAGCTCTTCTAGGGACAAGCTGCCCTGCTTTGAGCAATTGCCCCACCTGGGAAGAAGGATAAGGGCGGGTGCTCCATTCTGGTGTTTTCCTACCTTTAATCCTATCCCAAGCAACCGCTACACCTGGAGGAGGGGGGACTGCTTTACCTATCTGGGAATTCCCCAGCCTAGGCATAATAGGATTTGGAAAGTGACCTAGCGTAACCTAAGGCTAATTATTATGTTTTAGCTTAAATCTACATTGTGGTTCATTCTCCCAGCCAGGTAGGGCTTTCAGAGAGGGAGCGCACAGATACAACCTTGAGAACACCTGTTAATCATTTGGTAACATCCCACACCTCCCAAAAGCCCTTTCCCCAGAACAGGCCAATAAAAGGAAACAACTCGAGAATTCCCAGAGAGTCAGTAAGTCAGTCTGTCTCCACTCATGGAGACAGACCTGTTTCATTTTATAATAAGGACCTACTTGTGTGAAACTGCTTCCTGCTTGTGGTCACTCCATTGCACTGGCCCTGCTTGTGGTTCTTTTTTTTTTTTTCAAGCAGGGAGCCAAAGAAGTAGGATAACAGTCCGCCAAGAGGCTGGACCTGACACTTTGGTGTGTCTGGTCGTTCTTTGGCTAAGAGTACACCAAGAACAGAGAGCAGACTGCCACCCTGACAGTCCCAGCTACTTGGGAGGCTGAGGCAGGAGGATCACTTGAGCCCCAGAGTTTGAGGTTGCTGTGAGCTATGATGACACCACTGCACTCTAGCCCAGGTGATAGAGTGAGACCCTGTCTCAAAAAAAA